TATGTTTAGAAAAATATTGCAAGGCCAAAGAGATTACTGCCTGTTTTCTTGTAGGGGTTTCATGGTTTTATGTCACATATTTAGGTCTTTAATCCATTTTGAGTTTATTTTGGTGTATGGTATAAGAAAGTGGCCCAGTTTTCCTAGCGCAACTTATTGAAGAGACTGTCTTTTCCCCGTTGTTTATTCTTGCCTCCTTTGTCATAGATTAATTGGCCATATAAGCATGGGTTTATTTCTGGGCTCTTCATTCCGTTGCATTGATCTAGGTATCTGTTTTTGTACAAAGACCATACTGCTTTGATACTACAGCTTTGTAGTCTATCTTGAAATCTGGGGTTGTGATACCTCCAGCTATATTCTTCTTTCTCAAGATTGCTTTGCCTGTTTGGGGTCTTTTGTTTGTTCGTACAAATTTTAGTATTATTTAGTATTCAGTATTATTTTAGTTCTGTGAAAAATGCTGTTGGTATTTTGACAGGGATTACATTGAATCTGTAGATGGCTTTAGGTGGTCTGGGACATTTTAACAATGTTCTTCCAATTCATGATCATGAAATATCTTTCTATTTGTGTCATCTTCAGTTACTTTCATCAGTATTTTCTAATTTTCAGAGTACAGGTCTTTCACCTCCTTGGTTAATAAGTATATTCCTAGTAATTTATTCTCTTTGGTGCATGTCCTCTTTTTGAGTTTTATACTACATGCACATGTATTCAAAAAGGAAATAATTTAAAAATAAAGTGAATGTTTTCACTATGAAAAATACAAAAATTTTAATTGTAATTTAAATATGTGATATCATTTTTTATTTAACAGTTGTGAGCATTTTCCCATGTCTTCTAAAAATATTCACAAACAGGGGCGCCTGGGTGGCGCAGTCGGTTAAGCGTCCGACTTCAGCCAGGTCACGATCTCGCGGTCCGTGAGTTCGAGCCCCGCGTCAGGCTCTGGGCTGATGGCTCAGAGCCTGGAGCCTGTTTCCGATTCTGTGTCTCCCTCTCTCTCTCTGCCCCTCCCCCGTTCATGCTCTGTCTCTCTCTGTCCCAAAAATAAAACAAAACGTTGAAAAAAAAAAAATATTCACAAACATTTTAATGCCTGAAGTGTATTTCATTTGGCTATAAATTAAACATTTGTATAATTGTATATATTTCTCTGTTGTCCATATATGAGCTCATTTTAGTGTCTTAGTTTTTGACTATTATAAATACCATAATGAACATCTTTGTATATCTGCATTTACAACTTGGATTTTTTTCTTAGAACAGTTATGAGCTTAGTTGCTCAAGGATATGAAAAAAGTTGGTTTCTTTTTTTTTTTAAGTTTACTTATTTTTGAGAGAGACAGAGCGTGCATGCATGAGAAGGGCAGAGAGAGAGAATCCCAAGCAGGTGCTGTCAGCACAGAGTCCTTCTCGAGGCTCTGTCTCACGAACAGTGAGATCATGACCTGAGCCGAATTAAGAGTCGGACACTTGACCGACTGAGCCACCCAGGCACCCAAAAGTTGAGGTTTCTTGATGCATCTTATCATATCACTCTCCAGAGATGTTCTGGTGGTTTATACTGTCATAGGCAGTCTGATAATGACCATTTTCTGACGTAGTTCCCAACTCTAAGGATTCATTTCCCCGTTGCTGTTGACTGTAAGCAGCAGAGAGCAAGAATTCAAGTGTTGAAGAAAAATGAAATTGTGTACTTGTGCTGTGGCGCAGGGGGCTCCCCAGACTAAACCCTACAATCGCTCTGGAATCCCTGTTACCCAAGGGAACGAGGATGGGGCAGGGGCAGCCGGAGCATGTTGGCTGGGTTGGTGTTTTCCAGGATTGGGCTTTGCACTTGGCACACTTCCCTGAACCAGGAGGATCAGCTCCCTGCACAGGGCAGCTTGTAAGCTCAGCCAGGCAAGGGCAGGAGTCAAAGCCCCAGGGTGTCTATTCCATCAGGAAGCTGGCCTTTTAGATGTAGCTTGTAACTCCATCCCACAGTGGCATCAGATTCTAGAGGTACCGGACAAGAACGTTACATCAGTCTACAGTAGCCTGAGGCCTTTCCCAGCAGCCTTGCGGAGTCACTTTATCATCCCCACCAATTGGCTAAGAGAGATGGAGGGACAATAGACAGGTAGATACAAACTTGAGAAATATTTATTGAGCACATACTCTTTGCCAAGCACTGTTTGAGAATCTAAAGATGAAGCACAGAGCATGTTGGCCCAGCTGCCAAGATTAGGCCTTTGGGTCTGGTGTGGTGAAATCTCCTGGAGCTTTTCTAGTTGGAGAAAAGCTAAGGAGACAGAGCTTGGGGAGATGGTGTGGCCTGCCCAGGGTCTGTCCCTTCCCCTCGGATGTAGATGTAACATGGAGGATGGGCTTTGGGTCTAAGATATTTCTGAGTCATGGTTATGAACTCACCTCACTGACCTCAGAGGGCTATTGTGGCAATTTAGTAAGTGAGGTAGGGAAAGCACAGAACGACTTGGCAAGTGTTACCTTTATTATTATTGTTTAGAATTGTCATAAATTTTCGTGTTATTACTGTTGTTGCAACAGGCCATTCCCCTGTTCTGAAGCTTTGAGCCGTTTCCCAAGAGAGAGAGTGCAGGAGTGAAATTTCTGTGACCTGCAGAAGGAACCACCTTTGGGGCTTCAGAGAGTTCGTTGTGTTGTTTTGTTTTTTTACTGACAAGACCAAGCACTGGGGCAACTTCTTTCTCTCAAGGCAACCAAAAAAAAAAAAAAAAAAAAAAAAAAAAAAAAAAAAATAGCCTGAGCACACCCTCTGCTGGAGCTTGGGGGGATTGCCTTAGACAGGATCCGGCCCTGCCTTTATTTTACAGATGGGGGAACAGAGGTCTGGAGAGGAGCTGAGCATTCTGAGTGCCCCTGCTGTATTCTTTAGTGGTCTCTGAGCTCGGTGTTGTGAGGAGACATTGGGGCCAGCCCTCCACACCAGTAGCCCACTCTTTCACACATGCACACTCCCCTTTGGCACTTCCCAAGCCCACCCCAGGCACCTTCTGCCAATGTCAGTTACCTAAGAAAAGCATCACACAGTAACTTGGGCTGATAAGAACTTCTGCAATTACAAAAATACAGTCTTAGAAGTTCCCCTTAGTTACAAAGAACCACACTTGATAAGGTGATTTTTTTCCTCGTATTTGCTCTTTCCCTACAGAAACTAGTTTCTATGTTAGGTGTTGTTTTGCAGTTAACAGTTTATCTCAGAAACCTTGCCATATCAGTACAGGTTCATCTGGTATGATTTGATTGCCTTCAGAAACTCAGAGGTGTTCAGTGAGAGATATTCATGTCCCCCTAGCAGATGAACATTTTAATACAGTAGCAATACTGATTGTTGACAAGGGTGCAGATAAATGGACAATCTTATAGTGCTGTGCGTGGGAATATAAATAGGAGTAGTACAGAATTTATAAGTTTTTTTTCCCTTCATCTTTTATTGTCCTAAATACCTATGCTGTTCACAAAGGCAACTTGGAAATGTGTCTAAACAATGTGGCTTAAATATCATCTCACCCTTCCTTTTAACCCAGCAATTCTACTTCTAGAAATGCATTCTAAGGAAATAACTAGAGCTAGACACAGATTTACATAAAGACCACATACTATGTGTAAATGGCAGACAATTGGAAATACCTCCATGTTCATTTCTAGAGGACTGATCAAATCTTGGTACATCCAAGTACACATGTACAAAACTCACCTAGAGAGAACCTTAAATGTATGTTCTAGAGTGTTCTACAGAGTAGGCTATAAAATACATGGTATGATCTCCCAATTTTTAAAAAATGTATGTGGCTCTTTTTTATGTATGTGGTCCTCTTCTCACTCTAGGCTAGATTATCAACGACCAGAGCTCTTAATCATAGTAACTCCTAATTTCCTGTCTTTCTTCCCCATGCGACCCCCATCCCTCTTCTGAGTTCTAGCCCCGTACTTCCATTGACCTACTGTACGTCTCCCCATTGAGGGCTCACAGGCCTCTCCAAGTTGGTGTGGTCAAATAGAACTCAGCCTTCACCCCACCATCATGCCCCAAAATATTCCTTCTGTGCTGTTCATCTCAGTCAACCACATTTTCATCTGCTTACTCATGTCAGAAAGCTCACTTCCCCACCATTCAGATACCAGGTTCTATTGATTTAGCCTCCAAATTACATCTAGAATCTGCACCACCACCTCCTGCCTCCACGGACCATCCTTTCACACCTGACCTTCTGCAGGAGCCCTCAACTTGCCCACTTCTGGGCCCTGCTCAACCCAGATGTCAGAGTCATCTTTGAAAATGCAGATCTGAGCTTTTGTGACCTGGCCAAAACTCTTGAGTTGTCAGGTTGCAGAGGTGATCTGGCCCCTGCCCAGCTCAGCAGCATCCTTGGTGTCACTGCCCCTTACCCAGCATACATGAGTCTGTGGCTCTTTTGGTTCTTCTGTTCCACCAAACCCGTCCCTCCCCTGAGCTTTCACACGTGCTCTTCCCCTCAACTCCTTATCTAGATAACACCTGTTCTTCCCTGGAGCTCATCTAAAACATCACTTCCTGATCCCCAGCCTTGGTCAGACCCTGGTAGTCACTCCAGCACCCTGCCTTCTCCCTGGAAGCCCTGAGCACCCAGACAGTTCCTCGGGTGATTTAGGCAATTTACTGTGGCCCCCAGCAGGCTGTAGGCTCCCGGAGGGCAGGGACTGTGGCTGACTTGTTCATGGCTTCATCTGTAGCATCTAGACAGTGCTAGATATTTATCAGTAACTTTAGAGGAAAGACAAGGGATGTTCTTTCAACTGGCGATAGTGGTTTTCTGGGTGTGAAACTTTGGGTGATTTATTTTGTTCTTCACACTTTTCTGTGCTGTCTTCAATGATTAAGGCAGAAACTGTCATTTTGTCGAAAGACATCCGTGCTAGGGACCGGAGCAGAGTCTTCCCTGCAGGATGGACCCGGCCTCACCTTTGTGCTCCTGCCCCTTTGCCCACAGGCCTGAAGAGCGATGCGACAGGCGTGATGGAGGTCGAGTCCTCCTACTCGGACTTCATCTCCTGTGACCGGACAGGCCGTCGGAACGCGGTCCCTGACATCCAGGGGGACTCTGAGGCTGTGAGCGTGAGGAAGCTGGCTGGAGACATGGGCGAGCTGACACTCGAGGGGGCAGGTCAGAACCCACGGGTCTTTAGCATTCCTACACTTCTGGGCTCCAGGGCTGTCCTCCAAGTCATAGACCGCCCACTCCAAATCAGTCCCAGGTGGCATCTCAGGCCCTGAGGACTCTCTGGCCAGGAACCTGGGGCTCCTCCCTTTCCTCGCTGCCCTCCATCCACAGGGCCTGTCAGTTCTCCCAGACTCAGCCCAGGTCCTTCAGCTTCCCTCCAGCCCCACAGCCTCCCTGCACCACTCCCTGCCAGCCAGTTGCCAGCAAGACAGCAAGACTCACTCAGACTGTCCTGTCTCCTCCTGCCTCTGCCAAGCCCATCATCACAGGACCCTGCCGTGGGGCCAGACCCTACCCTGCCCTGCCTCTGGGTTCTCACCGGGGGCCCCTCTCCCTTCACTTTCTGTCCTCCAGCCATACCCACCATTAGTCTGTTTCTGTCAGGGTGCAGGCCTGCCCTGTCCAGAGCCTTCTGTGTCAGTTTCCTCTACTAGAACCTTCCCATTCAGTCCTGGGGTTGCCATCTCCCCGCTCAGGCTGTACTCAGAGGCACCTGCCCAGTCACTGACCTTCGTCACTCTGACAAGGTTTCATGTGTTTAAATGTGAGCTTCAGGAGAGCAGGGGCCTTCTCTTCTGCCGGCGCATAGCAGGTGCCTGGGAACTGCAGGCTTCATGAATGAATGGGGGAGATAGCAAGCCAGCCGCCAACCCCCACAGTGCCTGGGGCCACCCTTCTTTCAGCCCTGGGACCTTCCTCTAGACAGCCTTCTCTGACCCTCCTGCACTGGGTAGAGCCCTCTCCTCCCTGTCCCCAGAGTTCCACGGAGGCGGTGTCTGTACCACATCACCTCCTACAGCAAACTGCAACTGTAGGGCTCCGTGGGTCTCCCACAGAGCTGTCCTGGAGGGCCACCATCTTACTTTCCCCCATGTAGCCTTCAGTCCAGAGCCCTTGGTGCTTGTTTGCCAGAAGTGACCATGGAGTACAGAGCAGACTGTGGGCACATGGACTCACCCCTCTCCTGTAACAGATGGCCCTACAGGCCCAAGAAGCTGGGCGGCTTGCTCAAGGTCACCAGCAAGTTAACACTGTTAGAATGGCAACTGCCCAAGGAAGCACACCCCATACCTCCCCCAACCTCCCCCCTGCCTTTCCTGTGGCCATGCTCCTCACAGCTCACCTCAGCCTGCTGCCTCGGAGCCAGAGGAAAGCACATCTATTCCTCAACAGCCCCTTAACATGCTGCTCCCTGGGGCTGGTTCTTCCTGCCCTCCCCTCACCTGCCTCACCTTGCTTGCTCTTAGAGACCCAGACTGCTCTACTGAGAAGCCTTCCCTGACAGCCTCAAGCCAGAGGCGACACCTCTGCTCCCAGCCACCTCCATTACCCCACTTAGCACAGCGCCCCTCCTCTCCCACCTGGATCTTTGTCTCGCGTACGTGCTACATGGTGGCATATCGGCATATTACTCACAGCTTCTGCATCCTTATGCTCAGCTCTAGTGAACGGTTTTGTCTCCTTCTACCTCAGTAGTAGTAAGCATTCATCCATGGACACAGGCCCTTCTCATACCTGTTTCCTCTCATTTGGAATCCTTGAAGTGTCTGGGTCCTCTGGGTCTAGGACATTTGCCTGCCAGGGTGACGGATATTTGAAAAGGGGACCTGAGGAAGGAACAGTGTTCAATGCAAGGAAATGAAGCAGTCATGCTGGAGTGTAGGCCAGCCTGGCTGACGAACCTTCCAGTAGGCCCTGCAATGAGCCGTTTCCACAGGCAGGCCTGGGGGCTGTGCTCAGTCCCCCGGACTCACTGAGGGAGTGGGCCTACAAAGATTCTGACCAGCAGACCCGGCTTAGAATCTGTTTGCTTAAAACAGCCCAGGAGACAGATGCCCAGCTGGATGGAAGGGGAAGTATGGCCTTGGCCTGTCCTGGAGGCCCAGCTGCCAGCCTTCCCAAGTCTGTGGCCTGTTGGTGTTTGTTAACGCTCCCTAAGCATATTGTACACAAGCCTTTGCCTTTCCTGCCTTATGTGGGGAGGATGTTTCCCTACTTTGCCTAATGATAAGAGACAAGACATGAAGAAAGGAATACACTGCCCAGCAGTTTCTGACCATGAAAAATTCTGACCAGTTTCAAATTGTGCCCTGAAACTGACCCCAAGGAAGTCCCAAGAATACTGATTGGTGAAGAAAGTGCTTGAGAACCTTCTCCCCAAGAGAGAGCTGGGACTGGCACAGAGGAACTGTTGGCGAAGACATTCCCATGTGCCGGGTGACCACCTTTGGCCCTACGCCTTGGTCACACACAGGTGAAGGTGTCCCCATCCTCACTTTAAACAAATTGCCTGAGGTCCCACAGCAAGGAAACAGAGCAGAGATTACTAGGGAATCCAACGAGAATGTTCCTGCTGGCCTGGGCAGGAAGCTCAGGGTCAAATTGGGTATCAGAACCTGGGAAATTTGCCCGAAGTGCAGACTAGTCTGTCAGGCTTCTGGAGGGCCAGAAGGACCCTCTGGGCCCAAGCTTTTGTTACAGGACCACCCAGGATAGGGGTAGTGGTGGGGAAAAAATTCAGTGGGAAAGACATTGCCTCTCTCCACTGCTTATCTCTAGCAAATCAGTTCATGTCTTCAAGCCTGCTTTTCCCATCTATATCATGACTCTAATCATAATTTCCAGGCTGTGTGGATGCTCCAGCCTCAGGAGCTCAGGACAGGGTGGGGTGGTTCTCCTTGGTCAGTGGAGGGATTGGTCTAAGGATGCAAAGACAGCGGCCCTATTGGGAGGTCGGGCTGGTCTGGTAAGGACACAGCACAGTGAAATGGCCACACCCTGGTACTCCCCTGAGCTAGCCTGTTCCCTGCCCCTTCTCTGTCTTATGAGAACAACTACCACTCACTGAGCACCCATTCCATGCCGGGACTTCACATTTGCCCCCTCCTTTTGAGAACCTTCACAGACAGCCTGATCCTCAACTGAGGCTTGTAGCAGTCATCATGAGCCTGGCCTTTCATTGACCTTAATTATACTAGTAACACCGCCTGCATTTTCTTCGTAAACGTTGTTAGAGGCCAAGCTAAGGGTCTTTTTGGCCATGGCCACCCTTAATCCAGCTCCTGCCCTGCGCCCCAGGGCTCACCCACTGTTCCGACTTCAGCTGCATCCTTCCAGCCCTTCTGTGCTTTACGTTTGTGTATATGCTTCTTTTCTCTCTTCAGAAGGACAGACAGAGGCGGGCACTCCGGACAAGGAAGCTAGCAAGCAGCCTGAGAGCAACGATGGGACCACCTCGTCTTGAGTCTGACCTTGCCCATGGAAGGTGGAAGAGAGACCTGCTGTCCCCACCTGGACAGGGAGCCCTGGCATTGGCCTGGCAGCCCCTTCTCTGAGCCCCTGTACCAGGCAAGCCAGGCCAGAGTGAAAAGGCACCCCCGGAGGCCGCCGTGGCCCCTACCCTGGAAAAACCCTCCCCCTGCACCCTCAGGCTCCACTCGCCCACCACCTCCTCACCGTGCCCGGGCACACTCTCAAGACCCTGTAGCTGCGGGGCATTATTTATTCAGCGGGCACCTGGGTGAGCAGCACCCCAAGAACACGCCTCCATAGGTGGTCTGGGCGGCAACCACGGCCCAGCTCTGCCCCGCCTTCTCCAAGCCCAACCTTCTGGGTCAAGACCTTCGTATCCCTTTTTTTAAAAAACACTTTTAAACTTTTTAAAAACTATAAACCTCTTTTCAGCAGAGAGGAAGGGAGCTGACTTTTTTTTTTTTTTTTTTTGGAAGGCATTGTAAGCAGAACTGACCATCTGTGCAGCTCCACGTCCCCTCGTGGAGCTTCACGGATCCATTTCTAGGGAAGGGGTTTTGTGCTCACAACTGATCAACTCTTTGCCCTTTCTACCAACATAAGTGGCACCTAGGACCCAAGAAATAAATGCTGATGATTTGTGTGACTGGTTTAAGATTATTTCTCCTTTAAGCAGCAAAAGCAGGGGTGGGCCAGGTTTCCCCGAGTTAGTTGGGATCTGTCACTGCCCCGGGTTTCCATGGAAGGGCATACCTGAGAAGATGCTGGTATTCCACAGAGGCTGGCACCCTCCTTGGCCTGGTGCCTGATGAGTCTTCTTCCATCTGTCCCTCTTGCTTACCCCAGTCCACAGCTCACCCCCACGGGCAGGCCCAGCCCTTAAAACCTACAGTGAGAGGGGGCTCAGAGGTAGCATTTAAGCACGTAACTCTTCAAGAGAAGCCTGGTTTCTTCTTGAGGGAAGGCAGGCTATGGTTCCCTCTTTGCCCGCCCCCAGCATCAGAAGCTCTAGCTTCTCCTTTGCAGCCCCCGCCAGGGTCCCAGGGTCCCACTGCTGAGCAGGCTGCCCGAGTCTGGGAACCCACAGCCTCCTTCTGTTCTCACTCCGCCCAAGACCACAGCGCTGCACAACACTAGTCATTAGCTTCTTTATTGAGCACCAGATTTTCAGCATGAGTCCCCATAGGAAGGTTTCAGATTCAACCAGACTCTGGTCCACAGTCCGAGGAGAGATACAGCGTGCTGAAGTTTTCACGTGTACAGAAACAGGCACACAGGCTTCAAGAGCAGCTGACTATGGGAACCCTGGTCTTCCTTGAAGGAGTAAAGGTAGGCGTGTCATTCCAGGCCCCAGAGTCAGGGAGGCTCCATCCACAGGGTGAGGGCTTGGAGAGGTGGCCGTGATGTCTTCAGAGACGCTGCCCTGCTTGCCAGGTCAGAGACACAGAAAGGTTAGGCACCTTCTGGTACCCAGGATGTAAGAAAATCCCAGAATATCAGAGCCAAAGAGGAACCCTTGCTGCAGATGGGGAGACACAGGCTTAGAGCGAGAGAATGCTTTGCCAAGATCACACAGTAAGAAAGCAGAACAGAGCTAGGACCTAGGCCCAGCTCCCCTGCCCTTCACTTTAGGTGGCCATGGTGACAACCCAAGTTGCCAAGACCTTTGGGACTACACTTCAGAAACTCTCCCATGAGACCAGCCTCAAGGCAGCATTACACAGAAGGTAAGCTGATCCAGTGAGAGGCGCCGTCACCTAAAACCACGTGGCCAGGGAGTCCCCACACACTCTTGGCACTGCCCAGGAGGGGAAGGGGGTGCTTCTTGCAGGAAATCCCACAGAAAGCCAGGCTGCAGCCAAGGCTGGTCGGCAGCCCAGAAGATCAGCCAGGAACATACCTGCAGCAGCCAAAGATGGCATCCCATAGGCTTTATAGAGCAGATCAAGAAGCTTCCTCTTCTCATCTTCCGGGAGGAAACTGGACTTTGCCGCATTGATGTTCTAGAAGGACCAAAATGGTGGATAATAGGACACCAGAGAGCATGGAAGGAAGCCCTGGGCAATCTAGTGATGGGCCACCCTCTTCAGTGAACACGGGCAATCGATTAAGCTCAGAGCGGAGAAGGACGTGTCCAAGGTCACATGGCAGCAAGTGCCAGAGCAGAGACCATGAGGTTCCGTGTTCTTGAAGTGGCATTACAGGACACAGTGATGTGAGGAGGAATTTGGAGAAATGTGACACAGGGTGGGATACGTGTGGGGCCAGAGAGATACTCCTGCCGGGACGGATTTGGGGTGTCACAACCTCTAAAATCAAGGGCTCAGCCTGGGATCTATGAATGGCCTGAAATGTGTGCAGAATTATAGCTGAGCACACCTTTCTGGAGAGAGAGTGGACAGTTTTTATCAGATTCTTTACAGGCACTCAATCCAGGCAAAGGCTAAAAAACCTGGTACCAGGTCAGCACACCAGCCTGAGGTCGTATCCATAGAGGGCACCTACCTCTAGGTCTGGCTTGGCTTGGCCCGTTGAGGCAAAGTCACTCATCTGCAGAGGTTCCGGGCCCTGGCCAAGACCTGCAGGCCTCACACACCCCCAGGGCCAAGAGTCAAGGCCACCAGGCCTCACGCCCACTCACCAGCCTCTTGAACTCCTCTTCAGTAAAGCCCATGTTCTGTTTGGTCATTTGGTAATCGGTTTCCAGGGTGGACTTGAAGATGAGAGGGTCATCCGTGTTGAGTGAGTAGTTAGCCTGGTCACGTTTGAACCTGGATACAGGGGTGAGGGGGAGAGGGAAGAGCCTCCTTTTACTCTGCGGTGAACAGTCACCGCACGTTGGCTTTCACCCTCCCTTGAGCCTTGCAGCACCTTTAGACCTGGAAGAGCTGCTCGCTGTACAAAGGAAGAAAATTCAGAGAGCTCAGGCGACTTGTGTAATGCCACGTAAATAGCAACTCAAGACAGACCCATCTGACCAGCCCAGAGCTGGGCAAAGGCAGAAGAGGAACAGGTAGAATGGCAGATCATATGAAACCAGAGAGCATGGAAGGAAGCCCTGGGCAATCTAGTGATGGGCCACCCTCTTCAATGAACACGGGCAATTGATTAAGCTCAGAGCGGAGAAGGACATGTCCAAGGTCACATGGCAGCAAGTGCCAGAGCAGAGACATGAGGTTCCGTGTTCTTGAAGTGGCATTACAGGACACAGTGATGTGAGGAGGAATTTGGAGAAATGTGACACAGGGTGGGAAACGTGTGGGGCCAGAGAGATACTCCTGCAGGGACGGATTTGGGGTGTCACAACCTCTAAAATCAAGGGCTCAGCCTGGGATCTATGAACGGCCTGGAAAGCAGGGAGGCCCAGCAAGCAGCACCCTCAATCCCACTGGCATCAACTCTTCAACCAGCCCCACGTGGAAAGGGTTCCTGGCACAATCCCAGATCACCGTCTCTGTAAACCCAGGCCTTTCCTGGCTCTTACCTCACTTGACTTGTGTAGCACAATTGTACACTGTTGACTGGTCTTAAAACCCTTTTGATTTCTCGGAGAGCACACTTTTGGCTCGCCTCGTACCAGACTGTCCCTTAAACGTCACTATCCTGCATTCTCTCCTAGGCCCTCTTGCTCCCCCATCTCCTGAGGCTGTCACTTCTCCATGAACCTTTCTCCAGCCCACAGGCAGTTTCCCATGTGCCTCCAAGAACCTGCGCTCGGACGCTCAGCAGGTACCACACGCTCCACCACCCTGAAGCGGACCTCAGGACCCCCTTGTAATCCGATCACAGCCCGAGCTCCTTCCCTGCTTAAGCTTGGCAGACAGACCAGTGCAAGCCTGACCACGGTTGCCCCAAGTTCTTGTCGCCTTCTCCTGTGTCAGGGAAAGGTGGCTTTGCCCTCCTGAGGCCTGATGCCACCCCTGGGGCTCAGTCACAGGACAGTTGGAAGAAGGGCCAAGGTGTCTGGTTAGGTGGTGGGTTAGAAGCAGGCTGGGATGGGCCAGACTCCCCCCCCGCGCCCCCCCCCCACCATGGGAAAGCTTCAAGATGGTGCTTGGGGGAACACCTGGAGGTACCAGGACTGCGCGAGCTGGAAAGACTCCTCTTCCTGATGCCTAGGAGGCCGAATCTGGAGCGTGGAAGCACCCGTCCCACCTCAAGGCCAGCGGAACATTGCGTTGTGGCCACAGGAGTGAAGGGGCCCCCGGTCCACTATTCGGGAGCGGGGCTTCCTTGGCATGTTATAGCACACCCGTGGTTTGGGCTCCTCGTCCTTAAGGTGAGGACAGCAGCACCTGCTCCCCAAGGCCTCAGAGAGATTTCCTATCAAGAGGCCCCGTGTGGGCCAGCACCCAGCCCCTGCACTTCCCTCCCACCCTTCACTTTGCTGTACAAAACTGAATGGGCCCCAGGGCCTGGGCCTCACCGAACCACCGGGTGCTCCGTATCCGACTTCCAGGCGCCTGTGAGGTAGCTGGACCAGGGGCAGACCTGGAAGAGCAGGTAGATAGCTGGCACGCGTGCCCCCAGGCCACACTGTTCCCAGACCCCAGGCTGGGACACCCCAGGGTGTCACCCCTGCTCTGACACCATTCTCCGCACAGCCACGTTGGCCTCCCAGCTGCCGAGTCCTGTGACCTCTATCCTGGCGGCTTTGATGCCCACTGCCCAGTCCTGCCACACTGGCCCGGCCCCGGCGGCCCCTGGCCTTCCGCCTCGGTCCCCTCGCTCCCCGGCCACTCACCTCAAAATGTAGGTTTCTGCGGCGCAGCCGGGTGTAAAGGGCCTCGTCATCCAGCGTGTGGTAGCCGTGTCCCACCCTCTCCGTCTTAAGCGTGTCCACGGCCTGCAGAGAAGCAAGTGGAGCCTAGTGCCAGGTGGGCAGGAAGCGGGGAGAAGGGCCCCACGCCAGCCCCGCCTCCTCACCTGTCTCACCACCTCCGCAGAGCCCGCCTCCCCTGCATGGACAGTGCGGTGAATGCCGCTCCTCACGGCCTCCTGGAAAGGCAAGAGCCAGTCACGGGCGGCCTGGGGGGCACCAGCGGCCTGACCTTCACCGCACTCTGGGTCTGAGTTTTGGCAGCCTTGAACTACGCCCAGTCAGCTGGCCTGCTTCAAGATGGGGAAGTCGGGGGTTTTGTTTGTGTCATCATAATCTAAGTGGCAGCTGCCCTTTATTAGACAGTTATCATGTGTCTGTCACCGTATGAAATGGTTTGTATATGTTACCTAACATCCACAAGTATTATGATACCTGTTTTACAAGGAGAGAAACAGACCCAGGAAAGTAACAGAATGATGATCGAACAGGTGGGGAGCCAAGCTCTGAATCTTGGAGGGGAGACTCCAGAGCCCCTTCTCTAAAGCCCCCGCTGCATCCACAGGAAGTGCATCGTCAGGCTTCGAGATGTTTGCTCTAACTCTGTCATGCCAACAGATGCGACGGAAGCCCAGAGAAGGGGCAGCCTCACCCAGGTTCACATAGCAAGGTACAGACAGACAGAAACAGGCTCACACACAGTACTCCCAACACCAAGGGGGAGTCTTCTGTTTATACCAAATTCCCAATGTCTAGCACCCCCAAGACCCAACTAAGCTGCACTAGGGGACCGCGGAGGCCTCACGCACCCCAGTCCGTGTGACCTCTCCCTCCTGGGTGGAAACCAGCTCCTGGTGCTCACCCAGTGTCGCCCTCCCCACCGTCCTGCGGGACCCACCTCGTAGGCCTGCACATGTCCCGGGAAGAGGCTGCTCCCTTGGATGGTCTCGTCTCCAGCCAGGTCAATGGCCACCACAGTCTGATGCTGGTACTTCTTACACAGCTCCACCACCTCCAGGGACCAGTCTGTGGGCAAGATGCCCACCGGGTCTCTGATGGCATCACCGAGGAGAGGCCCCCCACCCCGCTCACTGTCCCCCAACCTGAGCCCAGCGGTAAGGCGGGGGGCCCACGTCGGGTCTTCAGATCCCGCTGGCCATGGCCTAAGCACGTGGCCTTTGGCCAACCCCTCCATCCAGGGCCTCGCTTTCCTCTCCTCTGAGAGGACTCCAGCTGCCACCACATCGGCCCCTGGCCAGGCCCTGTGTGGAAAGTGCCGGGGGCGGGGCCTGGCTTGGTCAACAACAAATGGCTGTGTTTCACCTGACCCCACCTCTGCCCTCGAGGGGGCGGGGTGAGCTAAGCCTCACTTGGCTCATGAGGAGATGGAGACCCCCCGGTTTAACACGGAAGCCCAGAACAGACCCCACACGAGCGCTACTGGACGTATCGCTAACATGCTCCGTCCTCTTAACCAATCAAGGTGTCATGAAGGGTTTAAAAATGGGTGAACAGTCACAGGCTTTGGCACCAGATGGCCCCGTGTTCTCGCGTGGGCTTTCTGCCTTCCCGACTGAGGAGAGAGAGGCTCCCCCGCCCTTCAGTCTCCTCATCTATCAGAGGAGAAACAACGGCCATCCTACCTCACAGGCTGCTACAAGGATCAGAGAAAATACGTGCAAGTCTCTGTACACGGAACCTGGCCTAGATTTTTTTTTTCTATTGTTCAGGTTCCTTTGGATTTGTGCTGCCTGCAGGTCACGTGGCCGTCAGGCCTGCTCTCCCTGGGGAGAAGCGTCTCTCGGCTGCCAGGAGTTCCGAGCCCGAAGCCCCAAGGTCCTGCTGAGGGGCTCAACAAACACTGTGGTGCTGGGGGCAGGGGAAGCCCGGATATGGCTCCAGGGCCAGGCTGGGGGATCGGCCGGTGTCAGAGGGGCGGCCCGGGGCAGGGCTGAGGGCGTACTCACTGGGCTGGTGGCGCATGCAGCACAGGATAGACCGCACCTTCACCCCAAAGTCTCGCTCTCCCTCCTGCAGGCCCTGGTTCACCACAGCCACCACCTCGTCGGGGGTGAGATCCCCTCTGTGTGGGGAGAAGAGTAGGGATGGGGCAGAGGCAAAGGTCTAAAGGACACAGCCCCGGGATGGGATGTGGGGGGCATTGAGGGGAGAGCGAGAGAAGAGTCTTTTGAAGCGGCTTCAGCCCCCATGAACCCACCGCCTCTGGGGAGAAAGACATGGCCCCCAGCCCTGGCACACCCCACTTCCGGCTTGCTGGGGCACTTCCAGACTGGAAGGTGTGTGGGGCGGGGGTGGGGGGTGCTGGGTGCTGGTCAGACACAACCCTCCCTGTGGATGCCGGGCACTGATAAGCCCGCCTGCTCAGATTCCCACTAGTCCGCATGTATCAGAGTTGTAGCTAGAAGGGGGCAGTGGGGTTGGGCAATGCCACTTAGAGACCCCTGGGGTCCCAGCAGAGGGGCAGGAATGGGCCACACTCACTTCAATCACAGGGTTAGAACAGGACACCTAGAAGTCACTGCACGAGGGGGTTAATGTTTCTAGACTGTGGGTCTGTGTCCGGGACAAAGGAGGCAAGACACAGATGCACACTTTTTCCAAAGGTAGATAAGTAAGTAAATAAGTAAATAAATCAGGCATCAGGCCAGCCAGCCAGCCCAGATGAGGGCTGGGAATGTCTCTTGTGACAGAGTTAAGGACAGGACCTTAACTTTCTGAGGGCATGGACAGGACCGGGGTGGGGGGGGGGGAACGCTAGGTCAGGGGCTCCTACCAGCCTGCCCCCGAGTCTCAGGTTGACCCATCCCACCATAGCCTGGGACCAGCCCCTCCAGGTGGTCACTCACTCGGCCTGGTCCCAGGGGATCGGCTCCACTTTAGAGTTGGCCAGCAGGTGCGGGCTGTAACGCACCTCCACATACACCACGCCCTCCTTGGCCTTCATCTCGACAAACTCATAGGCGATCCTTTTGATGGCCTCCCGGGAGCCCCTGGGAAGGGAAGAGAAGGGTTGGGAACAATAATCTGATTTTAAAAACGGGCAAAGGACCTGAATAAACATTTCTCAAAAGACATACAAATGGCCCGGTTTTATGAAAAGGTGTTCAGCATCACAAATTATCAGGGAAATGCAAATCAAAACCACAACCTCACACCTTGTTAGAATGGCCACAATCAAAGAGGCAAGTGATGGTGAGGATGTGGAGAAGAGGGGCCCCTGTGCACTGCTGGCAGGAACGCAAATTTTGCAGCCACCGTGGAAAACCGTGTGGAGGTTCCTTGAGAAATTAAGACTAAGCTGTCATATGATCCGGCAATCCCCTTCTGGATATTTGTCCAAAGGAAATGAAGTCAGGATCTCACCGAGGTATCTGCACTGCCATGTTTACTGCAGCATTATTTACGACAGTGAAGACATTGTTACAACCTCAAGGTCCACTGACAGATGAATGGATAAATCTCTCTCTCTCTCTCTCTCTCTCTCTCTCTCTCTCTCTCTCTCACACACACACACACACACACACACACACACACACACACACACTGAAATAGCATTCAGCCTTAAGGAAATTCTGCCATTTGCAACATGGATGAAGCTGGAAGACATTATGCGAAGTGAAATAAGCCAGACGCAGAGAGACAAACACTGCATGATCTCACTTACATGTGGAATCTAAAACAGTCCAACTTATAAAAGCAGAAAGTACCACAGTAGTTGCCAGGGGCAGTTGAGCAGGGAAAGGGGAAATTGGGAGAAGTTGGGCAAAAGGTACAAAATTTCAGTTCCACAAGATGAGTAAGTTCTGGAGACCTAATGTACAGCATGGTGACCATAGGTAACCATACTGTATCACATACTGGAGATTTGCTAGAAGGGTAGAGCTTAAGTGTTCCCAACACACACACACACACACACACACACACACACACACACACACACACAGAGGCAAGAAAAAAGAAAAAGGGAGGCACCTGGGTGGCTCAGTCAGTTAAGCATTTGATTTCAGCTTAGGTCGTGATCCCACGGTTCATGGGTTCAAGCCCCACGTCAGGCTCTGTGCTGACAGCTCAGAGCCTGCTTTAGATTCTCTCTCTCTCGCTCTCTCGCTCTCACTCTCTCTCGCTGTCCTTCCTCTACTCACGCTCTCTCTCTCAAATCAACATTAAAAAATATTTTTTTAAAAAAGCAAAAGGTAACTATCCACAGTGATGGATATGTTAACTTAGCTTGCCTGCAATGATCGTTTCACAATGGATATACACATCAAAACACCTTAAAGGCACATAATTTCTATTTATCAATTATACCCCAATAAAACTAAGGCGAGAGAGAATGGACAAATCCAGACAGTACCCTGGGGTCGGGGAGAAACCCGCGACTCAGACTTGAATCCCGGCTCCCACGCTTACCTGTTGCGGGACTCTGGTGAGTCAGCCTGCCGCTCACGTCAAACGTGATCATGAGGACAAACACGTTAAACATAAAACTCACCCAGACCAGTGCTTAGAGCAGAACAGACAGATGCTTGAAGTGGTTTTGTTGGTAGTGGAGTGCTGGCTCTAGAAGCAAGGCACATTTAACCTGCCAGGGCCATTCTAAGTACTCAAGTGACAATGAACTGTGCCTAGCTGGAAGTTTCCACCATGAAGAGTGAAAACAGAAAATGGTTACTAGAATGTGTGAGGGAAGTGTCTTGGGGAAGTTGGCCAACTCCCAGGAAAAGGGGACCATGCCTTTGCGGATGAGGTGGGGGGCAGCTGCTGCCTTCCCTGTGGGGCAGGGGCAGAGCCTGGGTCTGGGACCTCAGACCTGCCGCAGGGGAGCTGGCCTCCCAGGAAGAGGGTGCCAGATTGCCCCCACCCCCCACAGCTGTGGAACGCATTCATTCCGCACCCTGACCAGCACGGTCCTAGGCCCAGGGGATACAGCAAACAAGGTGGACAAAATCCCCGTCCCTGCAGTGCCTACAGTTGAGCAAGGCAGGCAAGTAAATATGCAAAACGTAAAATCTACAGTAGGGGGCGCCTGGGTGGCTCGGTCAGTTAAGCATCTGACTCTGACTCTTGATATCTGCTCATCTCATGGCCGCGGGCTGAGCGTGGAGCCTGCTTGGGATTCTCTCTCCCCCCCCTCTCTGCCCCTCCCCTGCTCATGCTCTTCCTCTCTCTCTCAAAATAAATAAAACTTTAAAAAAAAAAATTAAAAAATAAAACCTACAGTAGGTCAGATGGTGAATCTAGCCAACGGCCTCCATCTGCCTCAATACTTTCTTCTCTGGCCCTCCAACAACCCACAATGGGCACGTGCTCCAAACCTTTCCTCAGGTCCAGCCCTCTGGACAACATCACACCTTATCTATCCCAAAGCTTGAGCCATACTTCCTCCTCCAGGCAGCTTTCCCTGACTGCCTCCAGCCCGTCTGCCTCTTCCCCTTCTGGAGCTCCGGAAGCACAGACTGCAAAGGCTTGACTCTCACCGGCCCTGGGAAACTCTGCCTCGTGCCAGGAAGCTCAAGGTGGCATCAGGGGAAGAATCTGTGTGGTCCTGGCCATCCTCCTATACTTCCTGAGCCTTCATTTCTCCTCTGAGAACAAGGAGCATGTCCACCTGGCAGGACTGTCGACAACCACAAAGAGTACAGTTCTGGGAGCTGCACACTTATCCTTCTAGATCAAAGAGACTCTGCTATTAAAAGATGGAAGGAATGGGGGCGCCTGGGTGGCGCAGTCGGTTAAGCATCCGACTTCAGCCAGGTCACGATCTCGCGGTC